CTCCACTCCATGGTCTCTCATTCCAGCATGTGAACACTTCTGCTACCCCATGGGCTGTCAAAACACATTTACTATTTCCAGGGGCTGTCACTCCTCTATGGGCCTTTCATTCCAGTCCCAGAACACTCCTGCTACCCCCCAGGGGCTGTCATGCAACTTCTAGAACACTCCTGCTACCCCCAGGGGTTGTCATTCCACTGTGGGGCCTGTCATTCCAGTCCCAGGACACTCCTGCTACCCCCAGAGGCTGTCATTCCACTGCCAGAACACTCTTGTTTCCCCCAGGGGCTATCATTCCACTCTGCGGCCAGTCATTCCAACCTCAGAACACATCTGCTACCCACAGGGGCTGTCATTCCACTCTGGGGCCTGTCATTCCAGTTCCAGGACACTCCTGCTTCCCCCAGGGGCTGTCATTCCACTCTGGGGCCATTCATTCCACTGTGGGGCCTGTCATTTCACCCTCAGAACACGTTTGCTACCCTCAGTGGCTGTCATTCCACTGAGGGACCTGTAATTCCAGTCCCAGAGCACTCCTGCTACCCTCAGGGGTATCGTTCCACTCTGAGGCCTTTCATTCCACTCTGGGGTCTGTCAATCCAGTACCAGGACACTTCTGCTACTCCCAGAAGCTATCAGTCCACTCTGGGGCCTGTCATTCCACCCTCAGAACACTCTTGCTACCTCCAGAGGCTCTCATTCCACTCCCAGAACACTTTTGCTTCCCCCAGGGGCTGTCATTCCACCCTCAGAACACATCTGCTTCCCCCAGGGGCTGTCATTCCAGTCCCAGGACACATTTCTTACTCCCCCGGGCTGTCATTCCACTCTAGAGCCTGTCATTCTCTTCCCAAAACTCTCCTGCTACTACCAGGGGCTGTCAATCCACTCTGGGGCCTGTCATTCCACTCTGGGGCCTGTCATTCCCGTCCCAGAACACTCTTGCTACCCCCAGAGGCTGTCATTCCCGTCCCAGAACACTCTTGCTTCTCCCAGGGGCTGTCATTCCCCTCTGGGGCCAGTCATTCCACCCTCAGAACACATCTGCTACCCCAGGGGCTGTTATTCCACTCTGGGGCTTGTCATTCCAGTCCCAGAGAACTGCTACCCCAGGGACTGTCATTCCAGTCACAGGATACATCTCCTACCCCCACGGGCTGTCATTCCAGCTGGAGCCTGTCATTCTAGTCTCAAAACTCTCCTGCTACTCCCAGGGTCTGTCATTCTACTCTGGGGTCTGTCATTCCAGTCCCAGGACACTACTGCTACCCCCAGAGGCTGTCATTCCACTCCCAGAACACTCTTGCTTCCCCCGGGGCTGTCATTCCACTCTGGGGCCAGTCATTCTAACCTCAGAACACATCTGCTACCTCCAGGGGCTGTCATTCCAGTCCCAGGACACATCTCCTACCCCCCCGGCTGTCATTCCAGCTGGAGCCTGTCATTCTAGTCCCAAAACTCTCCTGCTACTCCCAGGGGCTGCCATTCCACTCTGGGGCCTGTCATTCCAGTCCCAGGACACTTCTGCTACCCGCAGAGGCTGTCATTGCACTCCCAGAACACTCTTGCTTCCCCCAGCGGCTGTCATTCCACTTTGGAGCCAGTCATTCCACCCTCAGGACACATCTGCTACCCCAGGGGCTGTCATTCCACCCTGGGGCTTATCATTCAAGTCCCAGAGCACTCCTGCTACCCCCATTGGCTGTTATTCCAGTCGCAGGACACATCTCCTACCCCCCCCCCCGATTCCATGCTGGAGCCTGTCATTCTAGTCCCAAAACTCTCTTGCTACTCCCAGGGGCTGTCATGCCACTCTGAGGGTTGTCATTCCACCCTCAGAACACGTCTGCTACCCCAGGGGCTGTCATTCCACTGTGGGACCTGTCATTCCTGTCACAGGACACTCCTGCTACCCCCAGGGGCTGTCATTCCAGTCCCAAAACTCTCCTCCTACTTCCAAGGGCCATCATTCCACCCTGAGTCCTGTCAATCGAATACCACGACGTTCCAGGCTGTAATTCCACTGTGGGCCCTTAGAACACCTGCCACTCCCAGGGGCTGTCATTCCACTATGGGGCCTATCATTCCAGTCCCAGAACACTCATGCTAACCCCAGGGGCTGTCATTCCACTATGGGGCCCCTCATTCTGGATGTACTAAAAGGAAGGACAGGATTGCCCATTGGAAATAATGGGAGTGACTTGAAGACCCCTGGGAAATAATAGGAGCCAGGAATGCTAATTGACTTGCATGGGCTCCATTAAAATACATTACACCTCGAGAAGGTGGAATGGATTTTCGATTAAGATCTCTGGTCCGAAATACACAGCTCTGGGGCTGAAATGACAGGCCCCACAGTGGACTGACAGCCCCTGGGGGGTAGCAGATGTGTTCTGGGACTGGAATGACAGGCTCCAAAGTGGAATGACAGCCCCTGACTGTAACAGATATGTTCTGGGACTGGAATGACAGGCCCCAGGGTGGAATGACAGCCCCTGAGTGTAGCAGATGGCTTCTGGTACTGGAATGACAGGCCACAGGGTGGAATGACAGCCCTGGGGATAGCTCGTGTGCTCTGGGACTGGAATGACAGGCCCCAGGGTGGAATGACAGCCCCTGGGGGTTGCAGATGTGTTCTGGAACAGGAATGACAGGCCCCAGAGTGGAATGACAGCCCCTAAGTGTAGCAGATGTCTTCTGGGACTGGAATGACAGGCCCCAGGGTGGAATGACAGCCCCTGGGGGTTGCAGATGTGTTCTGGGACCGGAATGACAGACTCCAGAGTGGAATGACAGCCACTGGTGGTAGCAGATGTGTTCTGGGACCGGAATGACAGACTCCAGAGTGGAATGACAGCCAAGGGGGTAGCAGGAGTGTTCTGGGACTGGAATGACATGCCCCAGAATGGAATGACAGCCCCTGGAGGTAGAAGGACTCTTTTGGGAGTGGAAAGACAGGCCCCACAGTGGAATGAGAGCCCCTGGGGTTAGCAGGAGTGTTCTTGGACTCTAATGACAGGCCTCAGAGTGGAATGACAGCCCCTGGGGGTTGCAGATGTGTTCTGGGACTGGAATGATATGCCCCAGGGTGGAATGACAGCCTGTGGGGGTGGCAGGAGAGTTCTGGGACTGGAATGACAGGCCCCAGGGTGGAATGCCAGCCTCTAGTGGTAACAGATGTGTTGTGAGGTTGGAATGACCAATACTACAGTAGAATGACAGACCATGGGCATAGCAGGTATTTCTGGGACTTGAATTACAGGTCTCAGTGTGGAATGAAAGCGCCTGGGGGTAGTAGGAATATTGTGGGACTGGGATGACAGGCCCCAGAGTGGAATGAAAGCCTCCGGGGCATGTCATTTCAGTTCCAGGACACATCTTCTACCCTCCTGGGTTGTCATTCCACTCTGGAGCCTGTCATTCCACTCCCAGAACACTTCTGCTAACCCCTGGGGCTCTCATTCAACTGTGGGGCCTGTCATTCCCCTCTCAGAACTCATCTGCTATCCTAAGGGCCATCATTCCACTCTGGGGCCTGTCATTCCACCCTGAGAACACATCTGCTACCCCCAGGGGCTGTCATTCCACTCTGAGGACTGTCATTCCACTCTGAGGACTGTCATTCCACTCCCAGAGGACTCCTGCTACCCCCAGGGGCTGTCATTCCACTCTGGGGCCTGTCATTCCACTCTGAGGCCTGTAATTCCACTCCCAGAGGACTCCTACTACCCCCAGGGGCTGTCATTCCACTCTGAGGCCTGTTATTCCACTCTGAAGCCTGTCATTCCACTCCCAGAGGACTCCTACTACCCCCAGGGACTGTCATTCCACTGTGGGGCCTGTCATTCCACTCCCAGAACACTCCTGCCAACCCCATGGGCTCTCATTGCACTCTGGGCCCTGTCATTCCACCCTCAGAACACTCCTGCTACCCTAAGGGCCATCATTCCACTGTGGGGCCTGTCATGCCACCCTGAGAACAGTTCTGCTACCCCCAGGGGCTGTCATTCCAGTCCCAAAACACTCCTTCTACCCCCAGGGGCTTTCATTCCACTGTGAGGCCTGACATTCCACCCTCAGAACACATCTCCTATCCCCTAGGGGCTGTCATTCCCTTCTCGGGCCTGTCATTCCAGTCCCAGAACACTCCTCCTACCCCCCCCCCAGGGCGTGTCATTCCACTGTGGGGCCTGTCCTTCCACCTTCAGAAGACATCTGCTACCCCCAGGGGCTGTCAGTCCACTGTGGGGCCTGTCATTCCAGTCCCATGACACATCTGCTACCGCCAGGGGCTGTCATTCCACTCTGGGGCCTGTCATTCCAGTCCCAGAGTAGTGTATGTGGGACCAGAGACCTTCATGGAAAATCCATTCCGCATTTTCTTTGCAACGCTTCTCGAGGTGTAATGTATTTCAATGGAGCCCATGCAAGTCAAAAAAAACCTGGCTCCCATTATTTCCCAGGGGCCTTCGAGTCTCTCCCATTGTTTCCCATGGGCAATCCTGTCCTTCCTTTCAGTACATCCATTGGGAGGAGTCTGAGTGATGGGGAAATGCAGCTCTCTTGCCTCCGGCATGCTGCGTGGGAGAGCCAGAATTTAGATCCCCCTACTCATTTAGGAATGACTGAATAACTTGAGTTGTTATTCATGCATAATGTACACAATAGGTCTAGTGCCGGCCATGCGCTCTCTCCTGACCCAGTTTTGCCCACCCCCGACTGTTGACATAAGCCTGCACTAAAAATACCGCAGGGGCTTTTAAAAGGCAATTTAGGACCCAATTGTATTGCATTCGTCCTTTGGCATTATGACGAATACGCGCGCTATTAATTAGCGCACCTCGGACAGTGTGGGCGTCCCCATGGGGGGGGGGGCACGCCGAGTCGCTCGCATTTGCAAGCCCCTGCAAGGGGGCGGGTCTTGTGGGGGGGAGGCGGGGTTTTCCCAAGGCTGGGGGGCCGGGTCGGTGGCTTCGCTCGCCGCGCTCCCTCTGCAGAGCATGGCTTGGCCGGGCTGCCTGCTGCGGATCCGGCTCTTGGCTGCGGCGCTCGTCGCGTGGGGTGGCCGAGGGCTGCAAAGCCTCTCCTACCGGTCGTCGCCGGCCGTGCGCCGCTTCCTCCGGGCGCCCATGGCCCTGGCTGGCCCCTTGCTGTTCCGCATCGGGTGAGAGCATTGAGGGTGGGTGGGATGCTGCGGGGCCTTCGCCTCCCCTGAAACTGGCTGGTCCCCGGAGAGATCGGTGCTCGGATCTACCGGGGAGGGACTGCAAAGTGTGTGTGTGGGGGGGGTCACGGTTTGCGTGGGTGGATGGGTGGGCGCAGTGTTCCCTCTAAGCTGAGTCAGTGTGCGCCAGCTCACAGTTTCTTAGCCTCCGGCTCTCGCGTTTTTGTCTTCACCCAGGAAGGACGGGCTCCAGGGCCGACTGATGTGTGCCAAATCGCTGGCTCGCGCCTTTCATGCCAGTCGCTCACAAAGTAAGATTTTTTTTGCTCACAGGACTCCACAGCTTAGAGGGAGCATGGCTCATCCCCTGTGTTCCCTCTAAGCTGAGCCAGCGTGAGCTAGCTTACAGGCTTTGAGTCTCCGGCTCGCACGTTTTTTGGCTTAGCTCAGGACAGATGGCTCCAGAGCAAACTGATTGATGCAGCAGCCAAATCGCTCGCTCACATGTTTAATGCCAGCAGCTCACAAAGTAGAATTTTGGCTCACGAGACTCCACAGCTTAGAGGGAACATTGGAGCTAGCTTACAGGTTTTGAGTCTCCGGCTCACACGTTTTTTGTCTTAGGTCAGGAAGGTGGGCTCCAGAGCCAGCTGATTTGTGCAGTAGCCAGAGCACTTGCTCAGAGCTTTAATGCCAGTCGCTCACAAAGTGGAATTTTTGCTCACAAGACTCCACAGCTTAGAGGGAGCATTGCTCATCTCCAGTGTTCCCTCTAAGCTGAGTGAGCGTGAGCTAGCTTACTGGATTTGAGTCTCCGGATCACACGTTTTTTGTCTTAGGTCAGGAAGGATGTGCTCCAGCGCCAGCTGATTTGTGCAGTAGCCAGATCGCTGGCCTCAGAGCTTTAATGCCAGTCGCTCACAAAGTGGAATTTTTGCTCACAAGACTCCACGGCTTAGAGCGAGCATGGCTCATCTCCAGTGTCCCCTCTAAGCTGAGTGAGTGTGTGCTAGCTTATAGGTTTTGAGTCTCCGGCTCACACGTTTTTTTATCTTAGGTCAGGAAGGTGGGCTACATAGCCAGCTAATTTACACAGTAGCCAGATCGCTGGCTCAAAGCTTGAATGCCAGTCGCTCACAAAGTGGAATTTTTGCTCACAGGACTCCACAGCTTAGAGGGAGCATTGGTGGTGGTGGTGGGGTGTTAATTCCCTACATCCAGTCACTCTGTTGTAGGGAGAAGGAGATGTTTCGAGTGCTGTCTGTTTTGTAGATCCTGCGTCGGTGATGTGTACAGCTGCTTTTGTGTCCAGGCTTGTTTAATAGGAGAAAGAGGGTTCTGGTATGTGGTCAGGAGCCATGCTCCCTCTAAGTTGTGGGATCTGGTGAGCCAAAAACGCTACCTCGTGAGCTGCCGGCATTCAAGTTGTGCGTGAGCGATTTGGCTACTGCATAAATGAGTTTGCTCTGGAGGCATCCTTCCTGAGCTGAGACAAACAATGCGTGAGCTGGAGGGTTAAAAGACTGTGAGAGCGCTCACACTGACTCAGCTTAGAGGGAACACTGGCGAGGAGGTGCAGCTTATGGTGTAAAAGAATCTGGATTTTACAGGAGGGATGTACCTCAAAGTTTGGCTTCCATGGGAATTCTCTGCATGCCTTAGGGGAAGGTGGCTTCCCTTGGTAGACAGGGAGGGCTGCTGTTTGGATCTGAAGTTTTCTGAATGTGCGTGTGTGTGCACACATTATTGATGAAGTCCTGCACAGACTTTTTAAAAAAATATATTTTATTCAAATTTCAATTATCCATTTACAATAATATCAGCATTGTACAGGATTAAGTTTACCTCAGCTTGACCACTTACAAGGGAACATTCAAATCATAGTTAGATAGACATCGGCTTAAAAGACATTATTCTTTCCTTCATAAATTTAGTACTAACATATTATTATATTAACATAAACTTGGCATTAACATATGCTCTATTTACCACAGGTGAAGAGTGTCTATTACCTCTGGTATTATCTATGGAGGTGTAGCTTAACGTGCAAAACAATCTAGATTTTTACAGGAGGAATGTGCCTCAAAGTTTGGCTTCCATGGGAATTCTCTGTATATCTTAGGGCAGTGATGGGGAACCTTTTAGAGACCGAGTGCCCAAACTGTGACCCAAAACCCGCTTATTTATCGCAAAGTGCCCACACGGCAATTTAATCTGAATACTGAGGTTTTAGTTTAGAAAAAACAACCCATACATTAACTTAAGATGATCCAAACAAAGTAAGGAAAGCAATCCCAAATGCTTTCATTTACTTTAAATTATTTGGCAGAGAATTCGACACTTTTATGATGGTCTGGGCTTGACTGGGGCAATGGCACGTGTGCCCACAGAGAGGGCTCTGAGTGCCACCTCTGGCACCTGTGCCATAGGTTCGCCACCACTGTCTTAGGGGAAGGTGGCTTCCATTGGTAGACGGGGAGGTCTGCTGTTTGGATCTGAAGTTTTCTGAATGTGCTTGTGTGTGCACACATTATCGATGAAGGGTCCTGCACAGACTTTAATTTTGTTTTTATAATTTTTATTTAAGAATTTAATAACAATATAAGGTGAGTACAATAGATGTCTGCAGATGGAGTGCAGAAATAGGTTAGCAAAAACATTAATGCTGAACTATATCCAGGCTGAAGACGCCGGAGAACTATATTACACTCTGCAAAACATCTCTTAAGGCAACAATCGTATAATAAATACATCTCTTTACAGGCAAATTTTAAATCATACTAGCCTTTAGTATCCTACACAGTGCTTCTGAGTTGTGAAGTTTTGTTTTTTAGGTTACCACGGTGCTCAAAACAAGGAACTTCAGATATTATCTTTGATCGAAGCCAAATAATGTTACAGGTTCAAGTTTCAAAAGAATATCATTGACTTGTATAAAGGAATATGCTGGAACGACATCAGATTCGACCATAGAGTTAATGAGTGAATACCAGGATGCTATAAATTTTCCTTCAGATTTTCTGGAGGACAGATTGCGTGTGCTAAGTTATATTTTGGACATCATGAAGTGGTCCTAAATACGATTTTGCCAGGATTGGATCGTGGGGGGAGGAAGTTTGTCTACCCATGCCGCGGCTATGGCATTTCTGGCTATGGCTAACAAAGCGTGAATCAGAACAGTCTTAATCTTTGTAAGCCAGTTTGGTGTCGTGGTTAAGTGCGCAGACTCTAATCTGGGAAAACCGGGTTTGATTCCCCACTCCTCCACTTGCTCCTGGCTGGATGACCTTGGGCAAGCCGTAGTTCTGATAAGAGCTGTTCTTGAAAAAGAGCAGTTTCTGTCAGGGCTCTCTCAGCCCCACCTACCTCACAGGGTGTCTGTTGTGGGGAGGGGAAGGGAAAGGAGTTTGTAAGCCGCTCTGAGACTCCTTTGGGTAGTGGAGGGCGGGGTATAAATGCAATCTCTTCTCTTCTTCTTTGTTGCCCTGCGAATCTGACCAGTTATTTAGGAGTAATGTTTCTGGTTAAAAAAAAAAAGGAAGGCAAATGTATATTTGTAATCAAGGAGATACGAGGTGATATTTGAGACCAGAATGTCTGCATGTGTCGGCACTTCCACCAGCAATGGGAAAAGTCAGCTTTCCCTCCACAGTTTTTTCTGCACATTGGATCCACTCATCCCGTTCAGACTCGATGTGGGGGAGATCTAGGAGACTGTTGGTGCAGTCCTAAACCGAGTTACACCTTTCTATGCCCATTGACTTCATTGGATTTAGACAGATGTTAACCAAACACGGTTGGTGTTTTGTAGGCTCATTTCAGAGTGTAGCCTCACCGTCTGAAGCTACTTTGTGGGCAGAAGGCATCTCTGATCTGTATGGATGAACCCAAAGTGGAACTCGTGTCCTGTGGCTCTAGCCTTTAGTTCCGGCTGGCTCCCAAGTTGGCCGCGCCCAGCAGGAACTCATTAGCATAACAGGCCACACCCAGCAGCACAAACGCATTAGGATTGGCTACATTAGGGGTGTGTGGCCTAACATGCAAAGAAGTCCCTGCTACAAAAAAAAGGCCCTGGGTTTTGACAACAGACAAGGTAAACAGAATAAGAAGCAAAAGGTGGGTGTGGCTGGATGAGCACACTTCTGGTAACATGGGGCCGTGGCCTAATATGCCAATGAGTTGCGCTGTCAGGGGTGTGGCCTAATATGCTAATGAGTTCCTGCTGTTGGGTGTGGCCTATTATGCTAATGAGTTCCTGGCACACTTCTGGTAACATGGAGGCGTGGCCTAATATGCCAATGAGTTGCGCTGTCAGAGGTGTGGCCTAATATGCTAATGAGTTCCTGCTGTTGGGTGTGGCCTATTATGCTAATGAGTTCCTGCTGGGCTTTTTCTACAAAAAGAGCCCTGGTTACCACAGTGCTCAAAAACAAGGGGGCAGAGATTCCCTGCCCGGCTGCCACTTTTCCCAGGCATGTTCTGCCTGCTGACGTCATTTCACAGACATGTGGGTTTTCTCTGGAAGGCACCAGATTGTTTAGGGGGAAAAGAAACCGGTGGAGGAGTACCAGCTTCCCAGTCGCATACAAAGCTTGGCATAAATGCATTTTCTTCAGAGGTCGTCATTCGGTACTGGGATCTCTCTGGCCTGAGCATCCAGGGTTGTGTCCCTTCCATGTGGTGTGTGTGTGTGTGTGTATAATCCACTTCTGATGAACTCAGTGATGTGTGCAGCTTGGAACTGCAGAGGATCAAGGAGCAAGAATTGCAATGTGGCTAAATGACATTTGGTAGAAAGCAGAAGATGTAGAAGGGGAAGAAACTTTAACCCAATAGTTCTGTGTCTTAATAGAAAGGGAAACCACAATAAAAAAATCCCCTTTGGGGGGCTAAAAAGAAAAGAAAAGAAAGGGAAACCATTACATAAGAATGTAAGAGAAGCCAATGTTGGATCAGGCCAATGGCCCATGCAGACCAACAATCTGTCACACAGTGGCCAA